TTTTCCCTTTTCTTTGATCTCTTAGTCGTGTTATTGCTGGATCAAAAGGTATGCACAGGTTTTTTTAAAAATTTAATATTTTATTTTTTCCCAATTACGTGTAATAACAATTTTTAATTTTTTTTTTAATTCTCTCCCTCCTTCCCTCCACTACCCACTCCATGAGAAGGCAAGCAACTTCATATAAGCTAAACATGTGTAATCATGCAAAACTTCTTTCCATATTGGTCATGTTGTGGGGAAAAAAAAGGCTCTGGGTCCCCTTCCTCCAAAAACAAAAGAAAAAGAAAGTTTAAGAAAGTATTCTTTAATCTTCATTGACAAACTATCAATTCTTTCTCTAGAGGTAGATAGCATTTTTCATCATGAGTCCTTCAGAATTGTCTTAGATCTTTGTATTGCTAAGAATAGGTAAGTCATTCATAGTTGATCACTGTACAATATTGCTGTCACTCTATACTGATTCTGCTCATTTCATTTTGCATCAATTCATCTAAATCATACCAGGTTCTTCTGAGAGCATCATTTCTGTTAGCACAATGGTGTTCTGTCACAATCCGGTGCCATTTGTTCAGCCATTCCTCATTTTTTTGGCATCCCTTCTATTTCCAATTCTTTGTCACTATTCTATTCACCTCTGTTATTTTGATCAGGAATACTTGAAAAGTCCTTTTTTTTCTCCTGAAGGATTATATACTCAATTTTGCTGAGTAGGTTGTTCTGGCTTGTAGTCTTAGTTCCTTTCCTTTCTGGAATATCATATTTTGTGCCCTTTGGTCCTTTATTGTGGTAGCTGCAAAATCTTGTGTGATCTTGACTACAGGTACATGATATTTAATCTTTTTGGCCTCTTTTAATATTTTCTTTGACTTGGGAGCTCTAGAATTTGACTGCGATAATCCTGTGAGTTTTCATTCTAGAATCTCTTTCAGGTGGTGATTGTTGGATTCTTTCAATTTTTATTTTACCTTCTTACTCTAGTAAGAGTAAGATTTATAAGATTAATATATGATTTATATTATAATTATAATATTTGTATAATTATTTGTATAATCATATAAGTATAATTTTGATTTATGTGTATTTATATATAAAAATATAAGATTTATAATTCCTCAAAATGTGAAGTCTAGTATTTTTCTTCTTCTGTCTTTATTTTGTGATTATGAATTTCAAGTAGTCTAATAATTCTCCCTGTTTTCCAAGACAGTTGTTTGTCCATTGAGATATTTTACATTTTTTTTCCTTCTTCATTATTTTACTTTGTTTTATTGTTTCTTAATGTCTCATGAAATCATTAGCTTCTAGTTGCCCAGTCCTAATATTTAAGGAATTATTTTCTTCAGTGAGCTTTTGTACCTTTTTTTCCATCTGGCTAATTTTGCTTTTTAAGGAGTTATGTTCACTAGTGAAATTTTGTACCTTTTTTATTTTCTACCATTTGGACAATTCTGTTTTTTAAGGTGTTATTTTCTTCAGTATTTTTTTTGTGTGTCTCCTTTACCAAGCTGTTAATTCTCTTTTCATGGTTGTCTTGCATTACTTTAATTTCTTTCCCCTATTTATTCTTTGCCAGTCTTATTTGATATTTAAAATCATTTTTTGGCTTTTCCAGCAATTCTTTTTGGGTTTGTGTCCAAATTGCTTTTTTTTTCCCTTTTGAGGCTTTGCTTGTAGCTATTTTGATATAATTTTCTTCTTCTGACTTTATGTCTTGATCTTTTCCTGTCAGCATAGTAGCTTTTTATGATCAGGTTCTTTTTTGTTGTTGTTTGCTTATTTTTCCAGACTATTTTTGAATTTGAACTTTATGTTTCTGGCTGTGTTCACCCATGTGTGTTGAGGGACACTATCCTAAACTTCAGGCTTTTTCATGCTGTTGTTTTTAGAGCCAGTTTTGGGACTTTCCAAGTTTTGGGTACTTCCAAGGTGGTATGATCTGGAAAGAGCTGTGGTCACTGTTCTCCTTGCCTGTGCTCTTCTCCTTACCCAGGAAAGGCCCCTGCTCCCTTGTGACTGAGACTGCCACTGCTCCTCCTTTGTACCTGGAAGTATTCCTCTCATCCCTGAAACTGCAACCCAGAAGTGGGAATGGGCAATGGCGTTTCCAAAAAGCTCCCTGTCTTGCTCCTAGTACTAGCTCTACAGTCCCCTGTAATCTTTTCCTAACCAGTTGCCCAATTCTATTCCTGTCTCTGGGCTTGGATTTCCTGAAGCTGTTGCTGATGCTGTCCCCACTATCTTATAATTCGTGTTGCTGCCTCAAGTTAGTGTCATAGACTTCTCCTTCCAACCTCCTAAGTGGTCTTGGATTGGAAAAAATGTTTCACCTCAACTTGTTGTTGGTTCTGCTACTCCAGAATTCAATTTGAGGTATGATTTCCAAGTTTTTTGGAAGGGAAAGTTTAGAAAACAGGCCTGTAATGCTTCCTCCCACCATCTTGGATCCACCCTGGATGTCTCAATGTCCTCTTCTCAATCCCCATCCATCTTGGCCTATTTTGTAGGTTTTGACACTGTTGCTCTTCTTTTCCTTCTTGATGCTGTCTTCTTTCTAGGTTTTCAGGATACCACTCTCTCCTGGTTTTCCTATGTATCAGATCACTTTCTGACTCCTTTGCTGGTTCTTCATTCCGGTCACACCCTCTAATTATAGATGTCTCTCATGGTTCTATCCTGGGCCCTCTTCTTTTCTCCCTCTATATATACTATATACTTGGTAATCTCATCTCCTCACATACATTTAGTTACCATTTCTATGCTGATGATTCTTATATCTGTCTTTCTTACCTTATCCTGTCTTCCAACTTCCAATCCTGTATCTGCTGCTACATTACAGACATGGTGAACCAAATATCCAGTAAAGATCTTAAGCTCAGCATATCTAAGACTGAACTTATCTTTTCCCCAAACTCTCTCTTTTCCCACTAACTTCCCTAAAATATAGAGAAAAAACCATCCTTTCAGTTCCCTAGCGTCATATATTAGGTGTCATCCTTGTCTCCTCACTATCTTTTCCCCTTCCACCCAATCTGTTGCCAGGGCCTGTTAATTTCATCTTTTAAACATCTCAGGAATATCATACCTTCTGTGTTCTGATGCTGTCATTACCCTGATGCAGGCCATTATTACCTCATGCATGGCCTATGCAATAGCCTGCTGTTGAGTCTGCTTACCTGAAGTCTTTCCCCACTTCAATCCATCCTCCATTCAGCCATTAAAGTGATTTTTCTTTAAAACACGTGTATGACCATGTCACTCCCTCCCCTTTTCCAATAAACCTCTGTGGTTCCATATCACCATGAGGATCAAATACAAAATCCTCCGGCATTCAAATCCCTTCATGATCTAATCTATCTTTCCCTCTTTCCAGTCTTCCTACCCCTTACTCCCCAACATGAATTCTTCCATTCAGTAATACTAACCTTTTTTTCTTCCATGAATAAGACACTCTATTCCTCAGCTCCAAGCATTTTTTTTTCTGTCTGTTCCCTGTGTGGGATGCTCTTCCTTCTCAACTCTACCTGTTGACTTCCCTAGTTTCTTTGCAGTCCCAGCTAAAATTCTGTCTTCTACAGGAAACATTTTCCAACCCCTCTTCATTCTTGTTCCTTCCCCTCTGTTTACTATTCCCTATTTTTCCTCTGTATACCTTGTTTTTACATGTGTATTTTCTTGTTATCATCCCCCTTAGATTGTGAGCTCCTTCAGGACAGGGACTGACTTTTGCCCTTTTTATGTCTTCAATGCTTAACATGGTTCATGGCATATAATAAGTGTTTAATAAATGTTTATTATCTTGTTGACTTTGTTGTGGCCATCTCTTGTACCTGAAATGCACTTCTTTACCTTTGTGTGATAGAAAGGAAACTTCAAGATGCATCTCAGGTTGCATCTTCTACATGAAGCCTTCTTTAATTTTTGCAATTGCTAGTGCCTTCTTTCCCTAACTATATTTGACTTCCTTGCATTTATTCTTTTTACATTTAATCTATGTACACTAATATCTACATTTGTCTCACTTGTTAGATTGTAAACTAGAATATATGGATTGTTTTATACATTGTATTTATATCTCCAGAGCCTTGCACAATGTCTGGCTCGTAATGGACACATGATAATTGTTTGTTAATTGATTCACAGAAATGGGAAATCATAAGTGGAATGTTCTTTATACTGTCAGATGTGAGCACTCTGTCAGTTGTTTTTTGTTTAACTCTTTCCCTTTTTTTCCAAGGAAGCCTGGGAGGTAGGGAGGGATATTTGGAAATGACTGTAATGTAGAAACAAAAGGTATCAATAAGACTTATTTTAATAAATAATATCTAAGTTGAGGAAATAAAAAGAAATATAGATAGATAATATGCTACTTACCTTTCCAGGTTTTTGTGAGGATCAAATGAGATAAATGCACACAAAAGCACATTGTACAGTAATAACTAATCTCCCAGAAAAGTAAGCCATTATCTAAATTTAAACATACATCATCATCATCATTATTATTATTATATTTAGTCTGACTAGATGTTAGGCAATAATTTTCATACTTTTTAAGCTACTTATTCATAAATAAAATGAGACTATTAGACTAAATTATTTAAGGCCCCTTCTATCTATCTTTAATTCCTGTGGCCCTCTCACTCTTCTCATATTTTTTGCAATCCACTCTAGTTTAACTGTAAATTTTTACCCAAAAAGAGCCTGGCAGGATTTCTAGGCAGTTGAAAGGGTAGTGCTGATATTGTAATAACAATGGTTTAAAAACAAAATAGGCATTATTGAGAAGGAGATTTACTTCCCCAAATCCAAATGACTTTTAAAATTTATTGTAATTCTTTTTTACTTATCCTCAAGCTCAGAGACATGGATCAAGTAAGTGAAACTTCATTGTAGGTGTATGTTAGGGTAGGTGTGGTAGAATGATTAAAATTAACATGGTACATCTAATTGAATTTAATCTCCTGAGTTTTGTTTTTTTGTTTTTATATTTGTACTAATAGGGTCCGGGAGGCTGCAATGACAGGTCTAATGGAGCTGACAATTTTGCTAACAAGAAATCATCCAGATCTCATTGAAGCAAATGTGTGAGTATTGAAATTGTACAGCTTGCTTCATCCTGTAAATCCTGTATTCTTACTAACTTCTATTCCATTGGAATATGCATTGTGATGTTAGCCATGTCCAGCCCGACTCCTTCAGTAGTTGTTTCCAGAGACTCTTACATTTTCCTGTATTGGTTATAATCAGTGACTGCCAAGCAGCTTGATTATTGTAAATAAAAGTTGGTGTAGTCAGTTTGTCCAGAAATAGTCATAATTCATATTGGCAAGCATGTTATAAGGCAGAGGTATCAAACTTGTTGAGGGCCACATCCACAAAACTCTAGAGTGCTGCCTGCGCCAGATTAAATTGTAATTAGGAAATGTTTAGCAAAATAAATAAAAATACAGTACAGCATAGATGATGATAATTTTTGGTTTTCTAAGTTAATATATGGCCTGCAGGGATTTGTTACTATTTGAGTTTTATACCATTTTTTTTAAAGGAAGTGTGATGGTGCATTTGAGGAGAATGGGAAAGACATATAGAACCACTCAATTAGATAATTAGTGTGTCTGGAGACTGAAAGAAAAACACATACAAAATATATCATTTTTTTCTACAATAACAGAATCGTGAGTACATATAGTGGCTGCATTTAAATGCCTGGCAGCAGAGTGAAAGGAGGGTAAAAAAAATAATGGGACATGGTTCTACTGGGCTTTAAATTTTGTAAGGGTAAAGACAGGTAGATTAGGATATAACGTTCTAAAGTAATTTGATTAAATCTTTAACAATCATACTAAAACTTATGCATACTAATGAATATTTTCCTGTCAAAAATATTAAATTGGGTTGTACACTGTTCTCAAATGCTACCATCACTCACAACATTTTTGAACTTAACTTTTTGTGTTGTCCCATAGAAGAAGGAAGAATAATGAATATATCCTTTCCTAAAATCATTGGGAATTTTGAAATATATCCAACCCAGTTATAGTCAGAGTATTGAATATGGTTGTGCTAAAATTTTGCATGTGTTTTGTCTAATGAGAAAGAATGGACTTGAAAGGATGCTGCTGCTGCTGGAAGATAATGGAAAAGAAGTGCTTTTTATTCCTTTTCTGACATGAGAGAGGACAAAAGGAGAGTTGTTCATGATCTTTTAGGGCTTTCAGAGAAAGTGTGATTTAGAAAGAAGCAAGAATCTAAAATATGTTGATATGGAGTAGAGAAACGAGTAAGTTAATCATCCTGTGGCAAAGTAGGAGGAATATTCTTGCTTTTTCCTATGTCAGCTCGGTAAGCTCCTCATATACTGCTGTCCCTACTCAGGAATAAAAAATGAAAAGAGGTTTTTACTTTCAAGGTTCTGACATTACTTTGCAACAGTTAGGGTGAATAGGAAACCACCTAGAAAATGTTGAGGGTCCATACAGGGCTATACAGAATGTTTACAATGGGAAGAGACTTCAGAAGCCATCTAGTCTAATCCCTACCCGAACATTATTAGTATGCCTGAAATGTGGTCTTTTGGTCTTTGCTTAAAAATTCTAATGAAGCAAAACTTTATATTTTAGTGCATTCTACTTTTTGAGAGCTGTAGTTGTTGTTGTTGTTGTTTTTTTTATCAAACCTTAACTTGCCTTTCTACAACTTCCACCTGTTATTCCTAATTATGCTCTTTGGTGCTAAACGGAACAATTCTGATTTTCCCCAGGTAGTCCTTCAAATATTTGTAAGCAGCTGTTGTGTCTCAAATCTTCTCTTCTCTTCTCCAAACTAAATATCTCCTTTTCCTTTTACCAGTCTTCATATCATAACGATCTCAAGACCCTTAATGATACTCTGGATGTTTACTCCAGCTTATCATTTAATGTCCTTCTGAAAGTGTGGCATGCAGAATTGAATATAATGTTCCAGGTGTAGTCTAATCAGAGCACAGTAAAACAGGGATACCACTTCCCTAGTTGTATAATATGTCTCTCTATGCACACTAAGATTATATTTGATTTTTGGGGGGTCTACTTGAATGTATGTTTGACTTTCATTAAAGCACCTGGATCTTTTTCAAATAAATGGCTATCTAGATCTTCCTTTTTTATTGTGTATGTGTGGAGTTGATTTTTTGAACCTAAGGTTAAGACTTTATACTTATCTACATTCTGTTCTTGAAGAAGACATGCAGGTTTTTTTTGTGATTACCTTTCATTAATTCATGTTCATTAATGAACAAGTCTAGAATTTTTCAAGCATCAAAAGTTAGATTTACAAGCCTACAATTTGCATCTTCTACTCTTTGCTCAGTTTTGAAAACTGGGACAACATTTTCCTTTATTGACTTGTGAAACAGCTTCACTTTTGCCTGTTCTGTAAAAGATCGCTGACAATGGCTCCATCAATGACATCTGCCATTTTAAAAAAAAAAATAGCCTTGAATGTAGTTCATCTAGGTCTGGTGACTTAAATTCATTAAAGTCACCTGAATACCATGATTAACTATCTTGGCTTTCATATCTTTATTAGTGATTTTTATTCTATCCTTTCTAATCTAGAAAATAGTTTAGTTAGAAGAAAAAACAAAGGTAAAATGAAGCAATGATAAATGACAGTGGAAAGAAGACAAAACTACCTCAGCCCTCATTGTCCCATTCTCCACAAGTAGTTGTAGTATCTCTTCTTTACTCTTCCCTTTCTTCCCTTTTTTTTGTCCCCAACATACATTTTTCTGAAAATTATTTTAATAGTTATAAAATGTATTTTCACAGATTCAGTATAAAATAGCAGTTGATTTCTTCATAGTTATTAAAATTATTTATACTTGAGGCCTTTGTGAAGTAGGCCTGAAATCAATGAAAGGTCTTGGTGTGTTGGCTCAGAAATCATCTTTCTCAGCATTCTGTCCTTCCTGTGTGTGTCTTGCTCAGCTCTTAGGATATGACTATCTCCTTTAGAAATATCCTGCTTTCTTTATTCCTTCTTTGGAGGTTTGACGTGAGCTCTGCAGCATCCATTAAATACCTTCCAAGCTTGTCATTTACTGCTTCTTCAACATTCAGTTCTGACTGCATCCATTTCAACTTTGCCTGCTCATTTCTAATTTGTTTTAATAATGTTAAATCATTCAGATCTTTGTCTCTCTGTTCTTGAAAGGTGTTTGCTACTGCTGATGTCTGAGCTATGCAGTTTTTTATTACTTTCTCCCTGCTGGCATGAGCTTCTATCAGAGACTCATACAGTTGTTTACAGGTTTTGCCAGCATCAGTTTTTCCTGCAAAGGAAACTGTTGGACCCCTGATGTTTTAATTCATGTGCTATTGTGTCATCAATTGTTCTCATCACCTTGAGTAATTCTCTTTGTCTGTGTGTATCCCTCTGTCTCTCTCACCACCCACCATACTGCTCCTCTCTCGCTAGCCAGGAGGGGATGGGGATGGGCAGTTGGGAGCCTAGACCAGGCGGGGTTCTCTGGATCACCCTCATTTGTTCTACCCTGGGTCTGGGACTAGCGCTCCTGGGGGATGGAACCTCATGATGTTCCCCGCAGAGGCCCAGAGACACCAGCTGTCCCTGGTTCTGAGCTGAGAGAAGCTCGCAGCAGGTGGAGACCGAGGACACATGTAAGGGGACCCTACCACTCTCTCGCCCCAACATATTTTAAAAAAAACAATACCACCTTTTCTTAATTCTCAGCATTTTTTCTTTCTTACAAGCAACAGTTCATCCTGAACCTTTACACATTCTTGACACTTCCATTTTGTTGTTTCTGAGTGACTTTTCAACCAGTGTTTATGACATGGCTGTCGTATAGTCAGGATTCTAGTATATTTTTTATATGAAATCTAATACTGTTCTTGCCTAGAAGGAACTTGCAATCTAGTTTAGGAGATAGTAACAAAAAACTGGAGAACAGTTTTAAGTCAAGTAATAATTATGTATTATAGAGTCTTGCTAGTCATGTATTAAATGCTTAGTGAATATTTGTAGAATGAGTGAATTCTGAGAATATTTAAAGCAAGAAGTTATAACTGTGAATGTGATACTACTTTTGGATGGCTTGTTGAAGAGTGATTTTTAAGCTGATGTTTCCTTAGACTCCTGTGTGTATTGCCATGCATTCCTCTCCAGTATTTGAAGTTTTTCTTTGTGTTCCCAGTACTTAGCATGGTCTTGGCATATTGTAGGTACTTCATAAATAGCTTGTTGATTGAATAAATGATTTTACTTGGAGAGGAGGGACAGACATTGCGAAGAAATTATCATGTATATGGGAAAGTATAAATTTCTATCTATAAAATAGGAATAAAAAATAGAAATAAACATGATAAGTTTCTGAGTTAGCCACAAGTCAGGATAAAGAGGAAGAGATAAGACCTCTAGAGAAGGCAGTGACTGAACATTAGGAGGAATAGCCTGGGAAAGATCAGTTTTGGATTGTGACAGAAATGAGGAACTTAGGAACTGATTCTGAGGAAAATATGTGATCTTATGACACATTGGATTTAGTGTGTGAGTAGTTACAACCTAGTTGATATTAGCATTTGGGTTAGAAAGCAGATCTGGAGGGGCAGCTAGGTGGTGAAGTGGAAAGAGCACCCACCCTGAAGTCAGGAGGACCTGAGTTCAAATCTGGCCTCAGACCAAAACACTTGACACTTACTAGCTGTGTGACCTTGGGCAAGTCACTTAACCCCAATTGCCCAAAAAAAAGAAAAAAGAAAAAGAAAAGAAAGCAGATCTGGAGAAGTTGGAAGCCATGAAATGACAGCTTGAACTGAATTGAGTAAATGTGCCTAACATAGGCTCAGGTTGGAGAGGGAGAAGGGTAAAGAGGCTAAAGAAAGTAACAAAGATTAGCAAGAATGATTGGTATGTGGGTAGGAAAAAAAGATGGAGTAGTTAATAAAGTAGATTGAAAAACAAAAAAAGTATTAGAAAGCTTTGAAAGTAGGGTTTCAACAAGAAAAAGATGGAAACACAGCCCAGGTAGCTGAATAGGAAGGTGGACTACAACCCATATCACCCTGAAACTACTCCATATATG